GAATTAATCTTTTTTACAGTGAAACTGGCAGAGAAATAACTGTCCTAATAATCTTTTACACTTCAAAAAACTAAGAAACTACTAGGGAGCCTTTCCAGTTGTTTTGTTTGCGTTTCTGCGTGCTAACAGCATCACCAGTGACAAGTCAAAGGGCATCTATTTTGTTACCAATTTCTATTGACTGTCATGACTTCTGGCCTATGTATTAACATGGAAAATTATTCTCCTATCTAAAACCACAGAATGTGTTTCAGCTAAAGTAAAAAAAAAAAAAAGCCTAAGTTTCCTCAATAGCCTCTCTTTGTAAGAAAGTAAGAAGCTCTGTCTAAGTCTGTGGGAAGGGCAGACATTGCTCAGCATTAAAGGTAAAGGATTAGCAATGTTGATAGCTGAGATCCTTTACTTACCCTTGGCAAGGAAAATGACAGGACAAGCTTCCCAAACTAGGCTCCTACGTATCTGTGCTGGGTCTGAGAAACACCCAATTTCTACCTCTCAAGTGACCTACTACACACATCACAAACTTCCTCAATAAGAGAATTACCCTACAATGCAAGGATGACTGTAAGTAAGTAGCAGCCCTGAACATGGAATTGCTGTGAGGCTACTGAATGGAATTGGAATTTGAGTAGTTTTAGACTTCTGACTTGTCACTAAATTTGGAACCTAATTGTTTACGTACCATGCTGCCTTGGGTCTAAATAGTTTTTAGTCTATCACACTCACATTCTGAAGCAAGATTTAACAAGAAAAAGAAAAGTAAAAGCAATATAACAAAATCTTATGAAAAAAAACAAAATAACTAGTACTAGAATTAATGCCTTAAAACTCTTTATTCACTTAACTCCATGGGAGCACTACAGTTCAAGCAAAAGCTAGCAGGACTTTATCTCAAAACAACAAGCTGGATGTGGTAGTGCAAGACTATAATCACAGCTAGCTGGGAGGCATAGGCAGGAGGATCAGGGCTGGAGGCTTGTCCCAATCAAAAAGCGGGGACACTTATCAGAAAAATAAACCAGAGCAAAAAGGGCTGAAAGCAGGGTGTAAGTGGTAGAGTACATGCAAAGGCCCTGAGTTCAAACCCCACCGCAGCCAACAAAAATAAGTCTTCGTTCACTTAAAATATCTTGTCCTCAAAGGATGTATTACCAAAACAGCTATAGCTACAGAGAATTTCATCAAAGAAAGATTCATGCCAGATTTGATGATATTGTAGCATATTCACAGGGAATTTCACAAAGTTATGAAGTTTCTTAGGGAATATAAGGTACACCCAAAATACTGCTGCAAGTTATGACTTAGAGTTCATTTCCTGGGGATAAAAAGGAACTGCTGTGTCAACCGGTCACTGCAGGACACATTGAGTAAATGTATATATGATATAACAATCTATCAAAATTTTAACATATGACTGATGCTCTAGCAAAAGTCAAACAACAATAAAAAAACTGAAAGTTACTCCAATTAATCTACTAGATTAAAGTTTTAGCTCAAAAACTGGGTGCTTTATCTGGAGCAGAATTTGATCTGTGATGTGTCTATGATAAACTTCATCAGCAGAGCTATATAGACATGCACATGTATGACGGTGAGATAAAAATTTAATTGTCTTAAAATTGCTTAATTTGATAAGAGTGGCTAAAGTTTTCAAAGGTAAATGAGTTTTATTTGATTTTTTGAAAACAGATAGTAAACATAAAGGTTTTTTATTATCTCTCTCATCCCCAGCACCTGAAAATGAGTAGATATTTTAAAGAGAATTCAATAAACAGTAAGTCCATTTCTGATCATATGGTGAAAGCTTAAATTTTGAGAACACAAGTAACTCAGCATCACATTAAAATATATCCTGTAGACTCTCTTTACATAAACTTCCTAAATTCTGAAGCTGAGATATCATGACTAAAGAAAACAGGTGGCTTGTCATGAACTACTTAAAACATCATTTTAAACTATAATACTATCATACTAATGATGACTTGTAGGGTTGGTATCCTCTTTTTTTTCTTTTTTGGTATCTCTTTCCTAAGCCATAAGGAAAAATTGTCTTCAGCATAAAATAATCACTTTTTTTGAAGTAGCTAAAACACCCAAATCTATAGTTAGCACAAGTCTCAGGGAGAATGTACTCAGACTACTGTAAATTAAAATTGCAAGTATAAAAGCAAAATTTTAAATAAGGACTATTTAATTCACACACAACCTATTACTACAGAATTTGCTTTTATTGTTATTATAATTCTGATATATACATAGTCCTCATTATAACATATTCCCATTTTACTTAGCAGCACACTCATTGTAATACAGAATTGTATGTTTTCCTGTGGTCTAGTTAACCTAAGTTAATTTTTTAATACTTTTTAAATCTGGATGATACAAATGAAATACTATCAGCTAATTTCCTTTTTATTATCTTTAGCAATGTGCTTATTCATTTCTTTTAGATAAATAAATACTTTCTTGTACTGTTCAGCTTGTGTTTTTTTAATGAAACAAATTCTCCTCTAACTAGAAGTCTGCTATAAATGTAAGTCACCTGGGAGCCCAGCCAAAGTCTGAAACAGCACAGCTGAAGGGCACAGCCATTTCACAGGGTCCTCTTAGAGTATTTGGTTTGCTTTCCTAACTTTCTAAAAATAGTAGATTACACAGGCTACCTCCATCTCATAGCTCAAGAACTTAAAAAAAAAAAAAAGATGGACTACAAATTTAATACATAGAATACATTTTATAAAAGAAATCAGAATATTACAAGTTTTCTAAATTCCTTCCATTTACTCTCTGAAACAATGCAAATGATTTACTGGCAGGGAAACCTCGTAACACTCCCAAATTTCAGAACTTCAAGCATGAGTCATACAGTTACTTCAACTGTTTTAAAGATATGTTTCTGATCTATTTTAGCCACAAAACTGAATACAGGAAGAGTACTACCTAAAAGACAGTATTCTAAATACTGTATAAAAAATTACATGTCAGATATAAAATAGAGTATATAAGAATCACTCTTATGAGTGATTCTCATTCTCTTATGAGTGGCTTCTGAAACATAATAATTGCATATTTGAAACTATTTTAATCAATTCTTAACATAATTACTTCACTAATTTTTTTCCTCTTATTCAAATTTAAAATATTTGACTAAGCTTTAAATACTATAAATTTCAGGTTTTTTTAGAAAAATCAAAGAAAAAGAACAAAGTTTGTAATACAAAGCTGCTCTAATGAATTCACTTCATAAATAAATTTAAAATCTCTATATTATTTGTTAGTTTTTAAAAAAAAAAGTCCTTGATGTGGCAGTTGAATCTTGTTAACCACATAGTATGTCATTAAGCAATACTGCTACCTTACTGAAAGGGGAACTGTTCTGTGGCTACAAATTAGCGGCACCTAAAAAAATATTTGGTGATGGAAAATAGCAACTGAATATTAATGGTTCCAAATGCTGTGGAGGGAGGTCTTCTGTGGAACCACTGAATGCCACTTTCCAGCTATGAGTGCCCCACCAATTGTCTACAGGATTAAAAACTGGATTTAGTAGTAATTGGGTCAAAACAGGGTTACTTATGGACACATCTGGTTACCTACAAGAGCAATTAGCCCTTTGCCCCTCATTTTATGGGTTGCAGTCTCTAATTATACCTGCAGTTGGTCACCATGAATTTAGGATTACACGTTCATGAAGGCAGGAATACTGTGCCCTTCATCAATGCCTTTGAAAGGAAAGAGAAGGAAAGGCCCAATGGTAATTTATAATTTCTGCTTATTGATTTCTAGGACTATGACATTAAGAATAACCTAATATCTTAAGATATTTCTGTGGTTGTTAACACCTCCTTTTTATCCAACTCTAAAATTCTATCCTTGCAATTTTTGGCAAAAACTTTGGCAAAGTGAACAACCCAAAGTTGTCAACAAGAACCTTGACTGAGACAGTTAACTCATAATTCACCTTGATACTGTTTAAGGATTATTATTATAGCACTGCTTGTTTTTCAAAAGACAATATAGATCAATGAGACTCTCTTCTCTATACACGTAGATGTGATAGTGATGCCATTTCCAAAGCTTCAAAGAACTAACCTGGGGCTGGTATTCAAAACCAATTTGATTAAACCATGTGGGTTGTGGGTATCCAAGAACACATTTCTAGTTTTAAATTCAAACGTCAAGTCAAAGATATATATGCTACGTCTTAAAAGACCCATTTTCAAACTTGATATGTAGACATTTCTGAATGTTAAGAAATGCTTAAGCATATCTATTAGTGTTACGGTGCCCACAAAAGCTAACTTTGAACATTACTAGCTGAAAATTTTAACGTGAAAAAGTACCTAATGAATAACAGTACTCCTTATTTGTAAAACTTACATTCAACAAAGTTTGTGCTTCAAATAAGATACTATAGCAGCAGCTCCGGACCTCACTTCTAGATATATTTTCCCTAAATGCATGGCTTTAGCTCTTAAAATAATATGCACATAAAGTAAAAAAGAAAATCCAAAATGTCAAAATATTAAGAGCTAAAAAGTCTACCCAAGATTAGCCAATTTAAAATACTCTGTTCTTTTATACAGTACAACACCTTTACCAACAAACAAAAATAAATCACCTTCATTCAGCTATTATTCTATGTAATATTATCACTTCTGTATAATATATACAAATGCTAAACAAACACAGATGTCTACACTTACCATTCCCAAAGACACAAACTATGCTATTGCTAATTACAAACTACATCAACATTTTCCGTCCTAGAAAAAATCATGGAGTTGAAGGACTAATAAAGTTATTCTTAACAACAAAGTTTGGCCAGACTTGGTTCTATCATGTCTCACGGAGTCCCCATGCCTTCATCATCAATAAAAACATGCTGTAAAACTAAACCATTAATAAAGAAATCCGTAATTCCAAACTCAGAGGACTGCTGACTATACCCCCTTTATTTGGTTATTGCATATCCTTAAAAGAACGTAATATTTACTCACTTTCAATGAATCAAAGCAGGCGATTACTCGTCCATTTTCAACTTGGCAGCTTTTCGAAGGATGTGCAAATTTACATTCCGTGTCTGGCCGTGAGCAAGTCCCCCTCTGAAACTCTCTACATACTTCCAGTGTTAGCCATTTTGTGTCCCGGATTGGTGTCACACTAACAGCCATGTTTAGATTTTACAGGTAGTTAATTTTTTTTTTCCCAGTAAAACCAACAAACCCAACCTCCCACAAAAAAAAAAAATGCAACCAAAAAAAAAAAAAACTGATAAAACTGTAAAATGATGATGAAAATGTCCCTTTCAAAATACTTTTCCCCACTCTCTACTTCAAAAGTACATGGAAAATTGTGTTGTCAATATCAAGGAAAAGATCTCCACTAGAAATTCACAGCATGAAACTGTTAATTCAAAGAAGTTTTGTTTTTTAGAGAAATACTAGGATTGTAAGTAGATGAATGTTTAAAAGTAGGGCCTGGAATCAGCCTTGTGCTCTCAGTAACCCCTTCCCAGTGCCAATTTGGAGCCCAAAACGCAAGCATGAAAACGTGGCAGACCCTTTGACACCGAATTCCAAGCTGCTTTCAGCAAAGTTGTCTGAAAGGGAATCTCCTCACAGCTGAATTTGCAATGGAGTTTGGTGGTGCAATCGGTATTGATTAGTTTGGCATAGACAGATGCAGCAGTTTAGAGCAAAATCGAGAAAATGATTTTTTTTTCCTCCTTGATTTCCTGGCAGAAGATATCTTACTTTTTCAGCAAACTTTTCTTTTAAAACTAAAGCAGCCTAGGGCAATGCCAGCTACTCAGAGCTTTTCTGCTGATTGTAAGTGGAAATGGGTTCGGGCTAGAGGTGGAGGGTGGAGGTGCTGTCGTCACAGTCTAGCTGGCTGCAAGCAAGGCAGAAGCAGAGGCTGCTCTAGAAGCGGTCCAAGCAGCAGAGCCGTCAGGAAAGGCACTTCTTAGTACCAACCTGCAGAAAAAGAGAGGTTAAGGTTTACTAAGTAGCACTTCACGGATGTCCCACAGTGTCACGGCCTCGCCATGTGACACCCGGCTGCATACATTCAGGCACTCTCACTTTCTCCCTCCCACACACACATACAAAATACTTACAGTGAGGCATAGTGCAGCCAGCCATCGTAGACTTCTTAAAAAAGGGGCCGTTTCCCCTTGTGAAGCAATGCATGACAGAGAGATAACCAATCACAGACAGTGTTGCAGCAATATTCTGGGCAGAAAGCCAATAGTGTGGGTTGTCTTATGAAAGGTCGCGCCTGTCAGACGTTCATTACTATGCTATAAGCACAGAAAATGTCCATCAGATGTGACTTATTCCACTGCAAGAGGACGAGCATGTGGGTTTTGAATTTACCCAACATGCAGTTAGTGGACTATACCATGTTAAGTTTCAAAACAGCTCCTAACACAAATCCAAACATTTAAAGATCATGGCCAGGGAATAAAAGGCAAGATTTAATAACTGCAGCTGACTTGCAAGCTGCTTTCCCTCTAGCTCTATGCGGGGACAGGCACTGAGCAGCCTGCTCCTGTTGCCCTGACCCGTGAATAAAAAAGGAAAGGGGTGTTTACAGATGGTACGTTCTCCTGACCTATCCAATTCACTTCCTCCTAAAGCCCAAGTCCTGCCCCTCCACTGAAAGCAGCACTCATACTGTAAAACTATTCCATTCAGCCGGCAGACACTTTGTCAATATTCACAGGCAGGCGAGATATGAACAAAAGCATTCTTTATTTGAACATTTTTAAAGCAGAAGCTCAGGTCATGTGGGGAAAATAAGGAGTGCGGTGTTGTCAGTGTGTCTGGTAAATCTGAAGTCAGCCTCCAGGGAGAAAGTGATTCCATCACAGAAACATTAAATATTAAGAGAGCAATTCAATTTGGGCAGTGGGATGCACTTCAGAAGCACAATTCCAAATGAAGGAGGAGAGTGGGGGCTGAGGGGTCCTCTGTAGCCCCGTGATCTGTTACCACAGCTCTGTAGGAGTGCTCTTTAGAGCAGGATGAAAAACTTTCAAAATTTTACTCGTTATAGAGTATGTATTTTTTTCCATTTTGAATGTGGCCAATGAAGAAAATAAAACTGTTTCACATTCCAAAGAAGCAACAACACAGAGCTTGATTACTTTTACTTTTTCATCAGCCAAAATGGTCTAACGGTGTATGGTATATTTACAATTTTGGAAATTAGTATGTAGAATATGAAGATATGTATGTATAGATACTAAAAAACACAAAAATGTAGTAGACTTTAAATTTACTGTTATAAGATTAATACTACCATTTTTAGTATTTTTTTGAAATCTTACTTTCCAAAAACATTTTAAAAACACTATAGCAAGACTACAACCTTGACAGAGATTAACAGAGCCAACTCATCCCAGTGTTCAAGAAATATGTTTGTTTTTAAGAAAGTATTCAGATTTTTATATTTGGCTCTATGAACACAAAATCAGTTGCAGTCAAAATCTCTGCGTCTCCTATCCAGAACCTGTGCTCTGCATTCACATGTATGGGTCACCAATCTTAGCCCCGCCCTCCACAATGTCCAAGTGCCCCACCTGCCACCATCTACTTCCTTTAAAGCCAGCTAGGGTGTCACTTCCTCCACGGAGTTTCTAAGACATCATTTCCTCTGTCTCCATCTTCCTCCACTTGTATATTCATACTGCAAAGCTTTCTACTTCCTTATATGTCTAATCCACTAAACTACTTGTTCCCAAGCATAGAAATAACAGTACTCAACTCAGCAATCCATTACCTAGCACAGACATGGAAAATAGAGTTCCAAAAACATTAGTTTGTTAAATTATCAATTACTACATCCGGACTGGGATTACCTCTAGGATACAAAAATGTACACACAATACATAAAAACAAACTCATATAAACATGGACCACTATAAATTACTATGTGCCAATGTCTCAGGCTTTCTCTGGGTCTGGGATTTTTCCCTCTGGCCTTGGACAGCTCCCTCTCTAGCTCCACACTGAAACTTTTCTAAATCTTTGTCATTCTCAACTGTCTCCTCCTCTAAGTTTTTCTCAGTATCAACAGCTGATGATCTTGTCACAAATATGTCTTAGTCAAAACTGTCACACTTGGGCATGAATTCTTTCTGACCTTCCTGCTCTATCTTTCTGCTTCTATTCTCAGGCTCCGAAGTTCTCCCACCTCCTGCCCACAGCTTAGCTTCTCCAAGCTTCTACCTTGACTCATTCCTTCTCAAGACCTCTTTCCAGTTCGATCCCATCTAGATTTGCATACCCTACCTTTCCACCTGCTCTTTCTTAAGTCTTCGAATGTGCTGATGCAGCTCCAAAGTGGAGAGATGGTGGGACAGGAGGAAGTACAACCTGCCTGAGCTGTGTATCTTCCTCTTCCTAATGCTCTCCCCAGACAAATAACTAGAGTACCATCTACACATGCTGTTTTATTGCTTCTTCTCCCACTCACTTTTGAGCCCATATTAGTATAACTTCCATACCAATCACTTTTCTGCTCAGCAAAGATTAACAATGCTTTCATAAAAGCCAACATAAAGACTGCTTAGTCTCTGACTTTCCTTGATCTCCAACACCATTTCTACCCTCTTTTTCTTGGGCCCTTCTCTTTGCATGAGCTGGTAAGTCTTAACAATTTGGCTTCTCCTGATTTGGCACCTCTTGTACCTTCATGATGATGAACTGCTAAGGAGGGTGCTTGCTACATGCCATGCTGCTGTGGGCTCCTGGCACTTTCTACATACTTCTCCTTTGTTTGTCTTCACATATACTTCCTCATCCCTGAAGCTAAGAGAATTCCTTCTCCTTAAATTACTATTCAGACTATTACCTTCTCTATAAACTGAGCCAACACTTTGTGTCTCTTCCTACTCCTTCCCCCAGGAATATCAATGCCCTGACAACAGGGTATATACCTAATGGCCCCCATCCTCCAAATCCTACAACACAACAGTCTTAAAATGTTTGATATATGCAATAAACATGTATATGACTCTGTGCTCCCAAACCATAAGAAATATTTAATTATAATGTGCAAGGTCCAAACAACATGAAGGAGGAAAAGGGCCATTAGAAATACCTGTATTACTTTGTAGCTATGTTTAAAAGACTGCTATAAAACTGGTATCTAGAGTTAATTGCTTTTCCTTTCTGTCATGCCACACACTTAGTTCTATTCAAGTATAAAATATACTTTGATTACTAAAATGATTACAGATTAGTGGTTTGGTTATTATCTTGTCTATAACAGAGGAATTCTACTTACTTCAAAACACATAACTGAAAGAATTATAAATATATGTTTACAGGTTAATTATAAACCTATTTCATTGTGAAGGATAAAGGCACAGATGATAATCAAAATATTCACAATTAGATAGGTACAGACACTAAGCTATTAGAAAGGACACCAACTTGCATGAATACAGGTCTAGCTGGACCTAGTAGTATGTGTCCACGCTTTTTGATATGGGGCACTGTGGATAATAAACTGGGATTATACCTTGATTGATTTGACTAAATTGCTGATACCAGATTACTGTCTTGTATCCTATTTATTCAAAAAGAATAATTTCAGGGAAGACCGAAAATCTTTGAAACTTTTAGTAAATTAAGATTGCAAAGAATTTAGATCAACACTGAATACTCAAAACATTATCTCAGCCAGTATTAAGTTTTTGTTCTATGGATACAGTATGTGGATCTCATCCAGATTGTGAGAGTTCATGCAATCGTAGTTTCCTTTATTATCAAATGAAATATTTCTACCTTAAAAATATTTTCTAATAGAGAAACTGCTTCTGAGATAAATCTCTGACCTATATTTCAATATATTTTAAACAAACTTCCCTGAACAACAGCAAGAACATTTTTAGGGAAATTAGCAGTTTTGCATAAGAATCAAAGTTTTTGAAACCCATACAACAACAAGCTCTCTTTAACCCACTGATCAAATTCCAAGCACCAAATCCAGTAATTCAGTAATTAAAATTCCAACCATTTGCATTGTATGACATTTTCTATAAACAAGCATATTTTTGTCACAAGAACTAATCTCTTCTTGGGTGATGTCAGAAATCATACATATATCCTACTTTAAGATAGATATAGAAGAGAAAATAGAAAGTAAAGGAAGAAAATGAAGTGATAGAAATAGTGAAAATCAAGAAAATGATCAGGGATAGTTTTAAAAAAGAGAAAGTCATGGCAATTACTGACAATTATTCTTGTAGCCATTGGCGTGTCTGTATGTGTGTTAGCTGAATGGCACTGAAGCCACACACTAGATGGCTTAACATAAGCATCTATTTAAGCCTGACATACGTAGTGCAGTACAACATAAACACATGCCTGTGAGGTATGAGAATGAAATTTTGTTTTAGAAAGCCATATGGCTCTATGAACAAGTTTAAATTTCTTAGTCACATATGCTTATTAATCATTCTAGTTCTTCTAAGACAAATATAGGCAAGTCAGTCCAGTTACATCCCAGAGTACTTAACTGGGAATTTGGGGGACTTTTTTACAACTTTTGATGTTGAGATAGGTTATATGTTGAGGAAGTTAACTAAGTAATTATTTGTGCCCTTTTATTATGATTTTTATTTATTAAAATGGTTTTAATCTAATTGGAAAATATAAGTGACTTCATCATGTAAGTTTGGAGGTGACAAGAAGGGGCCCCTCCTCAAAACTATACCTTCTTCCCCTAAATCACTGATGTCAACAAGTTCATAATTAGCTATGCTGTACTTTAGCAAATGAAATTTGCTCACACAACAATTTTGCTCAGGGTTTGTCCCAAATATTAAGAAATTTCTGTATATAAACACCAGCTAAGCTACACAGCCATTTCTCTGCTCACTAAAGTACCAAATAAAGTAACAAAGGTGTTGTTTATTATAGGGGTTGGTGCAGACTTCAGCAGTATTCTGCCTCTTATGAAAAAAGCTGAGGTCAGTGTTTCTCAATGAAGAGTAAGTATACTCCCAGGGCTACCCCTCATGATTTCAGATGATACACAAACAACGAAATTTTAAAAGATGCATCAAAATGCTACACTAATCTCATCAATTCTGTAAG